CGTGAACATTTGATACCACAGTCTTTAACTTACACACATAAATACTTCGGATCACTGTGGTGGACAGTAGGGTTACACACTGAGGTCAGACACAACACACATTCACCTGCTGGCTCTCTCTCACTCACACACACACACACACACACACACATTCACCTGCTGTCTCTCTCTCACTCACTCACCACACACACATTCATCTGCTGTCTCTCAGGCTGTGGCACATCCACACGTATCTGCTGTTAGTCCCTCTCCTAATACTATCTTTATTTGTTCTGTTTCACTAATGGCTGTAAAGTTCTTTATTAAGTTGGTGAATTTGTTGAAGTAGAGGTTTCTTATGGATATGTATTTATTATAGTGAAGGAGGAAGTGTGTCTCTGTCTCGATCTCATTATATCTGTCTGTCTGTCTGTCTGTTATCTCTGTCTGTTATCTAGCTGTCTGTTTGTCTGTCATCTATCTATCTATCTGTCTATCTGTCTGTCTGTCTGTCTGTCTATCTTTTGTTCTATCTATCTGTCCATCTGTTATCTCTGTCTGTTACCTAATACCTGTCTGTTTGTCTGTCTGTCTATGTCATCTATCTATCTATCTATCTATCTATCTATCTATCTATCTATCTATCTATCTATCTATCTATCTATCTATCTATCTATCTATCTATCTATCTATCTATCTATCTATCTATCTATCTATCTATCTATCTATCTATCTATCTATCTATCTATCTATCTATCTATCTATCTATCTATCTATCTATCTATCTATCTATCTATCTATCTATCTGTCTATCTGTCTGTCTGTCTGTCTGTCTATCTTTTGTTCTATCTATCTGTCCATCTGTTATCTCTGTCTGTTACCTAATACCTGTCTGTTTGTCTGTCTGTCTATGTCATCTATCTATCTATCTATCTATCTATCTATCTATCTATCTATCTATCTATCTATCTATCTGTCTGTCTGTTGTTCTCTCTATCTGTCCGTCTGTTATCTCTGTTACCTATCTGTCTGTCATTCTCTGTCGTTCTCTCTGTCGATCTTTTGTTCGATCTATCTGTTATGTCTGTCTGTCATTACGTTGTTCTGCCTATCATTACATTGTTTTGTTATTCAGTCATCATTCTGTCTGGCTATTGTTCTTTTAAATTTAGCTATTGTTAGTTCTAATATTGTCTATTATATCTAATAGTCTAGCATTCTTATTCTGTATATCATTCTGTCTGTCTGTTCTGTCTATGTAGGAAACATTAAACATTTGTCTTTTCAAACTTTGCTTTTCATAAAAAATAGTTATGTGGATTTCTTTGCGTTTCAGTTCATTTAAATTTTTCTTTGCATTTCAATTCGAATTTCAAACATGGCATCATGTCTGCTACCTCAATTCAAATTCAATTCTAATTTAGCAATTGGGTTATAATTTAAAAAGTCATTCTCAGTTAAATTCTAAATAGTGCAGAAATTAAATTTGTTGATGCCTTTCAGTGAGCATTCAAAGTGTTATTTGATGCTTGAAGCATCACATCCTTAGCTGAATCTGGATTTGTATACTGTCACAGAACGTACTACATACATTTGATGAAGAACTTACTTTTTGGCTGGTCAAAGTATGTTCTATTATTATGCAAGTGTGTGGCATGAATGCCATGTGTCCAGAAAGCATACATCTGAATCTTGGTAGATGGTAATCTGGGTACTTTTCCTGCATTGAGTCATGTGTACTGCTCATTCAGACATATAGCACTGCATAAAAGTGTTTGACATACTACTTTTGAAACACTATAAACTAAGGAAGTAGACAAACCAGGAAGCAGAGAGAGTATGTATATTTTGCGGTTCTGAGCCTCGTATCGCACATTCAGCATTTTAGCCCCGATTCGCAACAGCTGAAAACCCTTTTCAGTGACCGAGCTTTGTTTTCTCATTAAATACACCCATCCCGAGTTTCGCCTTATCAGAGTCGCTTTCTGATGCCCGTAGACGGTGTATTTGTTTACGGGCCAGTCGTCTGGAGTAATTTATCATTAATTCACTGTTGTCATCTTCAGCAGAACTAAAGGTGATTCATCGTGCTCATTTTGCAGTATGAAGGCATGCTATCCTTCCCCTCGCTGCAGTCACCACCTGTGTGCCCCTCGTGCCTCCACGGGGAGTAAATCCTTCCTTACAAACACCCAATATGAAAATGAGATTTATTGTTGCGCTGATATGCAAACCTGTGCAGATTGATGGAGGTCCGGGTTAAATAGTTGCATCATTGTTAAGCGTGCTGCTTTTTTGGCTCGGGCAGACGGTGAGCTGGGTGGCTAGTCGCTCTGATTTATGTCTCCTCTGCCTGCAAATTGCTTTTACTGCCACCCTGATTATTGTTCAGTGTTAAATAGATTACAGATAGTCCGAAATATCCTCAGATGCACAACTTGGAATGAGAAGAGCTGGTTTGCAACCAACACCTCTGTGCACCCGTCGATAAGTGATGATCATCAATCAATTAATGCGGTTTGTCTAAACAGGAACCTTGTTTCTCTCTCCAGATTGTGCTCTGCATGTGTTGTCATTTCTGGCCTGCTAATATATCTCTGGATATGAGACTCGTTTTCCATAGGTGTGATCAGAAGTCACATCAGAATGAGTGTCTTTGATAAATGCCGCAATCAGTTACGGGTAGAGTAGACCGTAATGACTCTTCTAGCACGACTTGACACGCAGGACTAAGGAAGATATTCATTTACCGCTTCATCAGTGTGATCTGCCGAGAGAACCCGCGCTTCGTAAAACTGGAGATGGATGCAAGTGCTGTGTAATAGGGTTCTTAGCCTCAGATTGCTGGATTTTAAGTTATTCCCACCCTAATGGCCTCGATTTCCTTTCTTGGCGCATTTGTGTGAGACTGAATACCACGTTTGTAGGCAAAGTTTCAGCCCGATAGACGTTATTTATTGTCCTTGAGCTCAATAAACTGGAATCAGTGTCATCTTTGGAATGAAAGTGGAATCGGTTATGATATTTATGAGTCGGGATTGTTTGTGCTTTGCTCCGAGACTGAATTATAACGTACTGTCTTTTTTGTCATTTTCAGGGTTGCCCGCAGATTCTGCCTAGCAGTGACATCCTGGTACCGGCGGGGATCATTCGGCCAATCACACTGCGAGCTCGTAACTTGCCCCAGCCTCAGTCGGGACAAAAGAACTATGAGTGCGTCTTTAAAATCCAGGGCAAAGTTCAGCGTATTCCCGCGGTCCGTTTTAACAGCTCCTGCATCCAGTGCCAGAACACTTCGGTAAGAGCACTTTGCTTCATTTCTAAGACAACAACTCTTTCACTTACGAACTGCACTTCAGTTTAGGAACACATAATGAATAGTGGATATTAATGCAGGAAAAATTGATTTTCTTTATAGCAGTGGCTTAATCTGAAGGTTCAAGTTGACATCCTTTAGCAATGGCAGAATTTCTTAAAGGAATTATTTTATAAAAATAATTATTATTTTTTCACCCTGATGTCAAGCACTGTTGTTTGGTTATTGGAGACTCGAGAGTCAATGGTATTTATTAATATCCTGGTTTCCATTTATATACACTACTGTTCAAATGTTTGGGTTCAGTACAATTTTGAAAGAAATTAATGCTTTCATTCAGCCAGAATACATTACATTGAACAAAAGTGACAGTGAATACATTTACATTGCTGCAAAGCATATCTGTTGCATATATGATTTATGAATGCTGATTTTAATCTTTTTATGCTTCAAATAATCCTGAAAAATGAATCACGGTATTCACGCAAATATTCAGAAGCACAAACGTTTTCAGCATTAATAATAAGAAATGTTTCTTGAGCAACAAATCAGCATATTAGAATGATTTCTGAAGGATCATGTGAAGCTGAAGACTGGAGTAATGATGCTGAAAATTCAGCTTTGATCACAGCAATAAATTACATTTATAAATGTACTCAAATAGAAAACAGTTCTTTTAAATTGTAATAATATTTCAGAATATTGCTGTTTTTACTGTATTTTTGATCAAATAAATTCAGTCTTAGAGAGCATAAGAAACAACTTTTAAAAACATTAAAAATCATTCCAAACCAAACTTTAGAACGGTGGCTTATTTTATGTGATTTTTGACACATTGCATAAAAAATTCTGGATGGGAACTTCTAAAATGTGCATTAAAACATTCACTTGCATATTCATTTTGCATCTTGCATGCCTTAATTGACTATTTTGTTCTGTTGAACATGAGATGCAACTGCTGTGAAATATTTTTTATGATATTCCAATTGCTTGCATAAATTAAATTCACAGCTTGAATAGGAAAAATATCTAATTGCTCCCTAACTGTGCCGTATTTGATTATAAACACACAATGACTTAAATTTCAGTCTGTTTGTCACACAATTTTTTTTATGGTGTTTCATAGTTTCATAGGGTTTTTGTGTGTGTCTTTTTTCGAATTAGAATGTAAATGATCTTTTTGAAGATTATTTACTTTCTGTGGTAAGCAGAAAAAAGAACAAAATGACAGCATACGGGTTTGGAAAGACATGAGGGTGAGAAAATAATGACGGAACTGTTATTTTTGAGCGAACTATTGCTTTCAATATATCCTAAACAGCAAGCATGTCATTTATTAATCAGCGTATTTTTCCAAGCGTAGCCTCACCCCAGATGGCATTTGAATAATTGTCATACGAACAGATGCATTGTTTTCTCTCATTATATTTAGCTTTGTGACATTATTTTTCCATTAAAAAAAATTAGCATGAGCTGCAAATCGTTGCTTGTAGGGCAAAGTGGTGGTGATAAATTTGTCTCAAGTGTGCTGAGAAAGCCAAGGTGACTTCTCGCTGAATCACTGATCATAAAAAAATACGAATCTTTATCTGGGTAAATCGGCAAAGACATCAATTTATAACGCTGAAAATGTTGTTTTCTCAATCCCAGTGAAAAATGGAGCATGTCAAGATGTTGACATTGAGAATCTCTCTCTCTCTCTCTCTCTCTCTCTCTCTCTCTCTCTCTCTCTCTCTCTCGCTCCGTCCTCCCGCTCTCTTATACCGTCCTCCCGTTCGCTTTCATATGCGGGCGGTACAGGCGCTTGCCGTCTGTGACCCATCTGGTTGTCACGGTAACCTCAGGGAATCTTGTAAGATAATTAGCTAGGCGCTGGACGTGCCTCGCAATTTGGCACGACAGTGTGACCCAGTGAAAAAGAATGCGGTGAACCCCATTTGCCACGCTGGAGGTGGAGTGTGTGCCCTTTGACCTCTGTACCCTGACGGGGTCAAAGGTCAATCCACTAGCCTGAACCCTGCGACAAGAGAATCGATGTCCCGTCGCAATTTAATAATGAGGATCACGTCTGTAGCGTTCGCCCCCATGCTGGATTGATTGTCATCCTTTCCAGGAATGACACATGCTGCTGTTCTCGCGCGGTTCGAAGGTCCCCTCGCAGGACCCCAGTGCAACTGTTGTCCTTCCATCTGTTTTGACTCATCTCCTCCTGTTCATCAGTCTCCCTGTCTCTGACCCGCGCTGCCGTCTCCGACAGCGCTATGCATTTAAATTGGAATTGAAACGTAGCGACTTGTGCAGTCTAAACACAGCCTCGGACCTAAAGGCATTTAGATGGGAAGTGAGTTTTGCGGCCGCCTGTCAGTGATGATGCCGGTGCATATTGAATATATGGAGGGCAACAGTTTTTTTATTTACTTATCGCAGATGAATATTGACATGGGGATTTCTGTGCGGGTCTTTTATTTGTAAAATCTTGTGAAACCAACAATTTCACAGCGCTTTGATGCGACTTATCGGTCCACACTGACTGCAGAACTGTTACACAGCATGACATAAATAGATTCCTAAATAAATGACAAAGTTTTTTGTATGTAAGAGCTTTTATATGGCATGGTATGTGTATATATATATATATATATATATATCATACAGGGTACTTGACATGCTTTTTGAAATAGAAGAACTGGATTTTTTTTTTTAAATCAAGAGGTGCTTAAAGTACTCCCTGCTGTAATCAAGTAATGATATTGTTCTTATTTGCTCACCGATGCTAATTTTCCCTCGCATTTGGCACTTTTTAGCACAAAATCAGAACAAAATGACTAAACACTCAATTAAAATGAAATTGGAAAATTTTAAAATAAATTCTAAATATGAATACAAACTAACAGTAGTCTAATGACACTGGTTCATACCAGACATTTTATTTATTTATTTATTAGGAAATTGAAAATAAAGAAATGTTGTTTTTATTTATTTTGACATTTTAAATTAAGCAATAAAGAATTTGATGAACAATCTCATTTGTATATTTCTTATGCTACACAAATCATTTGTTTTGTGCCTCTTTTTCTCATTGTCAGCTTGCAATGGCTGTTTTTTTTCCTGAAAATCAGTATCATGCTGGTCATGCTAGTTCAAACTAGTATAGATTTGTTAGTATTTGTCACCTCAGCATAGTTTGCATGCCCTGTATAAGCATTGTGGATTGGCAGACAACTTCATTAATTTTGATGGGAGTGATCTAGCTTTTTCACGTCACGTTACACTTGTAGTATTCTGTGGTCTGCATGGGGCTGCGTGATTATACTGTAGAAAACAGAAAGATTTTCACTTGTTTTTGTCAGTTATGCATGTTCCCATTCTACTATGAAACATAATGTGTTGTTTTTCAGGTAGATGGCTAGTTCATGTTGACAGTTTAACTAACATAAAACCTGTTCAGAAAGGTTGGACTGCAGTGTTTCTAGATGAGTTCTTTGTTTCTAGCTCACTGTGATGGGAAACCAAACCCTCACGTTCTCACAGTTTCTCCTCATCGTCCCCCATCCCCCCTTTATCTTCAATCTCTTTTTCTATCACCTCATTGTGCTATCTGTGTTGGTCTGGACATGCACAGATTAATTGATAGTCTGATTAGCAGTGACACAGTAAAAAAAAAAAAGCACATCATCTCTCTCATAACATGCATCTTTCCTGAATAGCAATCGAACATCAACGTAGACCCTGATACAGATTACACTGACTCCCAGGAGAGTCATCGTCTGTCCACCACTCCCTTCCTCAGCACGTGTCCTCTCTCTCACACGCTCTCACACGAGGCAGCTAGAATCAATCAATATGGCCGTCAAGGCGAATGGCACCGCATAGTCTTCTGGGAGCCGACGGCAGGTGACTTTGAGGCCGTGGAGTCCATGCTAATGAAATTGTGAGTGCCTTCGGATGGGCAGCGGCGAATCAATCAGTTTCAACTTCTGTTTACACGTCACCTGAGAACGTGTATGAAATGGTCAGTTTTTTTTTTTCTCTACTCAAGAAAGGTAATCATATAGCTCTGTTCATTTACTGGTAGGTGAAGCAAATAGAAAAAATATGAAGTTTTGGAAGTTATTGTTCTCTCCCTTATGCTTTTTTAACTTCAGTTCAATCTCAGATTTGTGCTCAATCATGTTTTTGCTGCAGCCATTTTTTCCCAATAGAACTTCAAGTCTTTTTTTTTCTTTTCTGTTTTTATTTACGAATATCATAGGTGTGAATTGATTCCAGTGAATTATCAGTTAACTTCTGACTGTCAAATAAATAAATGTATTTATTGTGGATTTTAGTGGACAATAAGTTTATTTATTTGTTTGTTTGTTTGTTTGCAATAGTTTAGTTATTATTATTATTAGATTTGTTTTATAGATTTTTGTGGATAATGTATATTTCAATTTGTTTATTTACTTAGTTTATTGTTTATTTTTAGCTCCATTCAACTCCATTCACTTATAAAAAATTAACCTTTTTATGGAATGACCCTTTTTGTAGCATGGAATTTCAGCAATTGTTACCATTAGCTTCCATACCTGTGAGAATCGCAGTGGTTTTTATTGATCTCACAGTGTTGAAGACAAAGGCACACAAGCTACTGGTGTTGTATTACAGCTAGTTAATCAGCTCTTATCTTGATGTAAGTGGTCTCCCTTAGGGCACGTCTCTCGCTTGTGCTGGAATTGAGGGGTCATTATTTTTGACAAAAATCAAGTTAACTGGCCCTGCATTCTCCCTAATTTCTTGGCTGTTTCCTGTTCCTGCCTCACCCTAGAATTGAGACAGCTGCCTTTTCAGTATTTCACAATGCTGCTATTGTGTGGCTTTAACATCACATACTCTACAAAGAACTTTACTGTACTCTGCTAGTAACATACTAGGAAAGCTGATGGTTGCAATAATATAACAACATGCTAATTGTTCTAGCTAATAAATTAATCAATCAGTAT